CCGCAAACTCGGACTCAGCTGTTGGTATAAAGAAATCAATTTCTCCGGCACATCCATAAAAAGGAGACAACGCTAGAGTATAGATCGGTCGATTGAGTTGAAAGTTACTTTCGGATCGAGGAACACAGAAAAGGTGATGTATGCAACCTCGACCAAGCCTAAAACCAACCTGGTTCTCACTCGTGTTCACGTGCAGTAGACAATCGACGGCGTATAATACCAGCGAGAAGCTTAGAGACAATGTTGATTAAACTAACCTTCCTGTAGTTTTCACAAGAGGATCTATTACCTTTCTTGTAAATCGGTATGATAACGAATAACACCATTCATTCCGAACTTGTTACCTTCCCCATATTGAGCCCAGGAGTTTCATCCACTCCAAAACTGGGGCTGAAACTACCTCCTTAAAAACCGATGAGGCAACCCATCTGGGCTGGAAGACGTCACCAACTTGAAGAGTGAAAAACTCGAAGTGGTAGCACTGGAAAATAAGGCAGTAAAACGACTCAAAGAAACCACGACGAATGATGAAACACTGAAGTACATTCCTCATTATCTCTTTTCTACTTCTCAGACAGTGACAGAAGGAAAGTGACCTAGGAGAACATTATGTAGAAGAGAGTTTAGGTCGACCCGGAGAGCACTTCTAACCGAGTAATACTTGCACTATGTGGAAAGACGTTTGCATAAGAGGGCATGGTAATTATTGTGCTCATGAAGTGGAGGACACGCTTCTCGTCTCTGTTCCCAAATTACACTGAACGATTCCTCGCGAGTGGAGCAAAAATAAAAAAGTGCAAATATTTGTTTTTGAGATGTGAAGATCGCAAACAACACGACCGCCACCAACAAAACATTGACCATCGTACAAGTGTACAAAAAACAAGTTGATTTGGAAAAGAGGTTAGTCCGTGAGAGACCACAATTCACAACGGTCAAAACTCATCGAAAGAACAGCAACAGAGAGCATTGGCAAACAGGGCAGTTAGAAAATCCTACATATATATCTTATAAATGCACAATAGTATACGAACTACAGAGGAACAGGATGGAAAAGCTACAAACGTGTGGCTGGAGGCCACGAAATTGGGGCCGAAGATGAATGAGGTAAATTGAGTGGACGGGAGTGGGGCAGGCAGTATGGGTTTATTTGGCAATAGGGAGTAAAAAGGAGGACAGATTACACTTGGGGGAAAAGAGAAAAGTGACTATTTGTAATATTGAAGGGAAACCCGGAAAGGCGGAACGATACTCGATACGATACTTGGGAGGAGGACCTGATCACACACACACACGCATGCGTGCACGCCAACACAGATAAAAGCTAGGGAAAAGTAGACTCGACAGAATTTCTCCCTATTCGACTTATTTCCTCTTCAATAGTAAATCACACACAAACACAGAGTAAAATCGTTCTCGACTGGAACTGTTCGGTTTTACACAGGGTTGGTGAAGGTATATACTTGGAAAAGAATCTGATCATCAGTTGATAGCCGTGAAAGGGTCATTTGTAAATAATACTAAAGAAAATTGAATATTTTTAGCACCGCATGTTTGTGTTGTTCGAATCACGAACAAAAAAGTTAGAAAAAACCATATCCAAAAAACGACAATAAGACGGAGTGGGCAAGGTGGAGAAGTGTGTGTATGGCGGGAAGAGGGCGGAAAAACAAGGTAGGGTGAAGCATGTACAAAGCAGTAGAAAAACACTAGCGTGCAAGTGTGCGGGCACAAGGGAAGAGGGTTTAATTAAGAACTTAAACGTATTTGCCTGATAAGTATTGAGGAGAACAAGGTTAATGCAGGGACCAAAGTGGCTGGGAGGAACATTGGGAACTATCTGACACGAAGCAAATCCTGAGCAACAGAGGCAAGAGGAATGGTAGAAAGTCGAATTCAAATGGGACCGGGAAAGTGGACCACAGTTCGAAACGCGGGATAACATATGTTGGTGCGACAAGCGATGGTGGTATCACGCCTCCGTTGCTTCAGTTGCCGCGGGCAAACTCGAACCAGCCGAGGAGGTTGTATTCGTGGCCCCGTTAATTGAAGCACCGTTTGATGCACATGAAACGACACCAGTGCTATTCCCACCGTTCGAGGCTGTGTGCGCGGCAATCAGTTTGTCGTAAATAGCCATCAACTGTCGCAACTGACTGGCTGAGAGCAGACCGTAATCCACGAGGTTGGAAAAGTGCAGAATGAGATTGTTGCGCAAATGACGGCGGTGAATAAGGATTGAACATCGGTGCAGAAAGTAGGTGCACAAATTGACCAATTGATTATCGCATACAACCAATTGAGATGGACCGACGGAGAGAAGCAGGGAATTCCACAACTGCATGATTTGCTTCTCGCCCTGAAAAGGCGAAACACAGAAAACTCATGAATAGTAGAGATGAAGTTTCAAAGGATATTAGAGCTTAGATGAATTGAACCAAAAAACAGTACACTTTATATGACAATGTTATAAGTGTAATTATAACTTCTGTAGGCGTAAGGCCTACATTTCAGTTCAGTGCACAAATCGGAGAGAAAAAGAAAATAGTTAAATCCCCAAACTTTTGATTAAGTCTGAGAGCCTGTTCTTTCTTAACCAGAATACGTGCTAAAGAGGGTACGACATATGTTTATTCGAGAGGGAACACAACGTTAATGGGATCTAGTTGAGAGATGGAAACGACAGGAAGTTAAATCTGTGTGTAGCGGATGTGCGAGGTCGGTAACAATCTGGTGCATTCAGATGACGTTCGCACAGGTTAGTTACCAACTCTTCCAGTAGGATTGAGGAGATGCGGCTAAGGATGGTCAGTCCATGTCGAAGCAGCTTAAAATCCTTCCTTAGGAGGTAGGAAAAAACAACAGGTGAAGAATAAAGTAAAGCAGGGAAGCATATTGGCAAACAAATTAGGAGATAATAGACAGTTGGGTAAGAAACTCACGGATATGGAAAGTGAGTCGATGAAAATTACGATAAAAACCCCGAGGTAGCTAATAGAGCTTACTCGGGATACGAGTTCAAATGAGGAAGAAGAAAGGGATAATTCTAAGAGACAGGAAATATTTGGAGGGATTGAGAGAGACCGCAAGTGGCGCAAAATTATGGAACCTTTTCCAAGCTCGCATTCCCTGAGCCTACTACTTTGTTTCCAGAAGTGCATAATTACCAATGGTAAACTTCCTTCTCCTCTGCCCAAGTTGCACAAATATCTAAATTTGCCGGCAACGTCAAATAAATGTTTCAAGATTTAACGTTGGGTGAGACTTGTCTGTGGCTTATTATAGAGTCAACACAGCGTATTGTAACTAACATCGCGTTCACACGTGTTCGAGCCGGTGACTAAAACAGAACTTTGAATTATTTCATGCGGCCTAGAGGTTTTCGTAGTGTAGCTCAAATTGACTCAACAGCTTGTGTCACAACGAGAACAAATCCGTCCGGAACATTCACGGATATAATCCAAGCATTCGCATCAGAAAAATCCCAGCAAAAGTATCTAAGGACAAAACCACTTATCTAGGTGAGTTTTGTCAAATGTCGAATGCCACGAGAGATTTTGTTAAAACGTCGTGTATTACGATCATTAACGAAGGAGCATTTTTAACCTAACCCATCATTAAAAGCTCGGCAGTTGCATGGATAGCAGCAGCAGACACTTGGATGGTAGTGTAAAACTGACCCAACATACAACTTATCCAAAACAGTAGCCCAGTTGGTTTGCTGTTCCCAAGAAACAGATATCGTTAAGCCGGCATTGAAAATTACATTATCTTCCATGGGGCAGAATATAAAGAGTTACGAATGCATTTATTACCAAATCGCATATTCAAACAGCACAATGCGACACCAAATTTCAAAGTATATATATATATATACTTGAATATGGTGTGCACGTTCTAAATGGCACGGACAGTGTTGACAACGGACTGGGGACACGCACATTTCGCTGAACCACAACTGTGCATAAGCAAATGGTCAGTCTGAGACACACACACACGGAGATAGTGGGTCGGGCAGGTGAGTAAAGCGAGAACGAAAAAGATGACTCATTCGGACGACAGAGCAAATGGTGGTGGATAC